TTCCTGGGGACTGTAAGGTTTTTAATGTTAAAACAATATTAAAGATTAAATTTTAAATCTAAAATGTTGATCTAATGTAAAACCAAATGATGAACTATTATTACTTTTAACTTCTTGGTTGTAAAACTTTTTTTTTGGAAATTCTATAAAAGTTTTTCAAAGTTTTGAAAGCAAAGCCAACATGAATAAAAAGAGTAGAGTCTAGTTTTAAACTAGACTATAAATGTTTCTATTACTGGTCATTGACCTGTAACCAATTTCTTTGTGTGGTCATCTCTTTTCCCTCAGCTTTTAGCAATCCTCTTCAGATCTTGGCTGCGCAGGCTTCAACGTCCCCACCTGTGCTGGTCAACAGACCCTCCAGCATTGAACCCGACGAGCCCAAACCCAAACGGCCCAAAATGGAGGAGGACAGTGTCGCTCCAGTCCCTCAGCCTGTAATTGTTGCAATGAATCAAGAGGCCAGCGAATGAACGAGTGAGTGAGTGAGTGAGCGAGTGAGCCGACGACCGATCTTTAAAGCACATCTCGCAATATCGTTCAACATATTGAGGGAAACATGTTTGGTTTTCTGTAAAACGTTTTGTAAACGCCCGACACGGGTGACTGATGGAATGTCTTTGTAAGAAGAGGTTGTTGTTTCTTGGGGGTAAATTCATTGAGCTACATCTGGCAGCATTAAAATTCAATGCTCACACAGTTTTAAATTTGTAGGGGCTGTTAATCTTGCAAGAATGTTTGAAAGAAGTATGAAGAGAGGTACATGTGCGCCCAGTTAGTTCCTCACAAGGTACAGCTGAGAGAGTTCTTCTTTTCGGGATGGGGTGGGACCAATACCTATGCAGCTATTACAGTCTGAGACCAAGAGTGTCTCTGAATTGAAGCGGTATATAAAAAGGGTCACAGGAAAGCTGTGTGTCACTGCAGTTACCTGTGCGGCCTTTGTGAGGATTTATTTATCTCTGTTTAAAAGCAAAAAGGCTATCTTTAATGAAACAAGATTGTTACAACTCAAAGCAGAAATGAATAGATATAATAGAGGCCTTTTCTAGCTGGAGTCCTTTAACCTACATTATTATAGGCTAGTGTACAATATATTTTTCTGTGGAGGATTCTTACCTTGCTTGCTTACTACAAAGAGAAATGTCTACAAATATGCTAATTTCTTAATTGGTTTATGTTTAGCGCAAAAATTAAAAAGAACTCGATGAATGTAAGTACCGTTTGTTTATTTGTTATGACTCATGGCACCCACTTTTGACCTAAACAATATATTAAACCGTTAGAATGTGTTTGTAGATACATTTTTGATGTTTTGTGTTTAAAAAAAATGGAATAACTGTAAGTTCATCGTATTTAAAGTAGCTCAGTCGTATCTGCCCATCACCCTTAAAAAGCACTTGGCCAAAATTCTGCTCCATAAATACCTTAAGCAACATAATCCCGATTGCATCAGTGGATGAATGCAAGCACACGATACGTTGCTGATGTATCTGATGTCAACCAAATGCTTTTCCAGACCTAGGAATGTAACTGTTCATATTGATTGTTGCAGGGGCTGTTTCTTCACTGACTTTCTGTGATCACTTAATAATCACAGAAGCCACTAAAATGAATGTTCAGTATTTTTTCTGAGAGTTCAAGAAACGTATTTTTTAGTAATATACACAAAGTCAGACTTTAATGAGACTTTCTAGTTTTACTAAGAGGAGAGTAAATATATATTGTTAGAATTGTGTTTTCAAGACAATCACTAACAGGATTCAGTAACCGCTTTGTATGTTGCAAATTATACACACCACAGATGGTGGAGTGAAGTAGCTTTACGTGAGCTACCGATAGCTTCTTTGTATGCTAGTGTAGTCGTACAGTGACAGCCGTGCAGTGTTGATTTTGTAGTAGAAATGGAAACTTTAACAGACCAAATACATATCCTCAACATTAGTGCCTTAGTGCTCCACTTCTTTCAGGACTAAATAAAAATCATTGTGATGTACTACTTAAAGACAATAACATCAAACTTACCTACTAAGAAGTTAATTTGCGGGTTGGACACATCTTGTGATAAAAAAATGAACAACAGCATTCTGCCTGTGTAACAAAGTCTAGAGATGATTAATCAAGTTGTGACTGGAAGCGACTGAGCAATATTGATAAAAGAAGACCGGAAATGAAATCTTGCTGGTTCCGTGTTCTTTTAAACTGCTTAAAGCTCAGTGGACTAATGCATAAATCAAGAGGAATCTGTCCGTAAACAGAAAAGCCTTTTGGTGGATTTAAAGGAATAGTTCACCCCAAAAAAATTTAAATGTACTGACTCTCAGGTTATCCAAGATGTAGATGAGTTTGTTTCTTCATTATAACAGATTTGGAGAAATTTAGCATTACATCACTTGCTCACCAGTCGTTCCTCTGCAGTGAATGGGTGCCGTCAGAACGAGAGTCCAAAACATCACAGTTATCCACAAGTGATCCACACAACTCCAGTCCATCAATGAATGTCTTGTGAAGCGAAAAGCTGTGTGTTTGTAAGAAACAAACTTTAGACTGCTTCTTCTGGCTATCCATTATATATAGTCCTCTATATATTATATTGCTTACTCCAGAGAAAGTCAGCAAGTGATGTAATGTTAAATCTGTTCCAATGAAGAAACGATTCAAGAAGAAGAAATCTTGGATTGCCTGAGGGTGAGAGCTAATTTTAATTTTTGATTCAGCTGATCCTTTAAAAGCTTTGAAGCAGCTATTGGATTCAAATGATGCAGATATCAATGCAAAAACATAGAGTTTGATCCTAATTAGTCTGATTGATTTGGGTCTTTGTTTCATGTATTCACATGGGCTTCAATAAACAATAAATGGGAGAACCACTGTCCCACTTGAAGTATAATTTTATTTAAAAAGAAAAAAATTGATTTGCCTGACAAATTAAAGAAATCAATATGTGCATGTCTTTTTCTCTCTCTTCTTTTAGATCATTGTGGAATAACCAGTAGAATGGTGAAACAAACATTATCACTGTAATAATACACTTATCGTACAGAATTAGCTGTCACTTCCTAAATGTTTTTTCATCATTTTTCCACAATCTCTCAGTATCTGTACGCATATATAATATAACCATGGAGTATTTTATCACAGATTCAAAGATTTTGTTTTCTATCATTTCTTTTTGTGCTTCTTGTGTTGTGCATATTAGCATATGCAAGTGTTTATACACTAAACATTTCTAATTTAAACTGATTGTAGGTGTTTCTTTCTCTTTTGACTGAAATATATAATCTGTTTGCATTATACACAAAACACCCCACAAATCAGTCTGCTTTGTGAGATCACGCCGTGCACCTGTAAATGTCTGCAGGTTTGTCTTTTTTATTGTGTATTCGACTACACAGTGTATGAGGGCTTTTCTTCTGTCCATGCATTTTATGCAATGGTGTATCTGGAACGAATAAAAATACTTCACTGGCTAATCTTTTAAATGAATCGGTGATAATGGCGTCTTCTGTTTTGATTCCACATGGATGAAGGTTTAAGCATTGCTTTGTATGTCTGCCCCTCCACCATCATTTTGTTTCTTTTATCATTCATGTAATTTATTTTCAAACATTTAAATCTTGCCGTCTTTATTGTATGCAGGGTACCTAGCTTGATTCGGTTTCTCAATTTATCACAATTTGCTACCAAGTTGTATTGCATTAACACTCTTTATAACCCTGTGCACCAAAACTGTGCAAGTCTGTCCTGTCTTTAAGGCCTGAGCAGAACTCTTGAATATGCTGAAATGTTAACAGCAAACTATTAAAAAGTCTGCACTATAAAGTTTCAACTGCAGCCTGCTTGAACATGTGAAGATCTCTGACACTGGTTTATTTAAGAACAGTAGGTATGAATTTGTAGTCTGCTATTAGCCGAATACAGCTTTGAATTTTACTGCATCCATGGAGTCTGTATAAAATTAAATAAATTAATGGCACATAAAACAATTTATTTCAATTTAACTCTGCTATATGTTTTACTGTTAAAGTATTATGCATTAAGACTGCAATGCTTTTCTCTACTATAGGATTAGTTTTATTGTAGCTAGTCCTTCAGTAATTTTGTTAGATGTTATAAGTTTTATAGCATTCAGTGTATTTCCATATTTTGTTGTAGAGAAGGTCATAAATATAAAACTAGATTTTTAAAAATGTTTCTTATATTATTACACTGTACAATTATTGGGGAATTAAAGTACATTTACATTGATTCTATAAAAAAAACATTACAATACACAATTTTTTGCTTTAAAGTTTACTTTGAAGTGATTTACTGGTTGATTATTGCTTGTCATGTAATAAGTATGTGGATATTATTTGGTATGTAAGGTGAATTTGGACCAAACCCTCTTTTAGTCTAGACATACAGGTTCATCTCAATAAATTAGAATGTCGTGGAAAAGTTCATTTATATGTCATATGTCGGAATAACTAGCATTCTACTCGTACTATTTTACTATATACAATTTTCATATGACTGTTTGTTGCATGAAGATGTTCGATACATTAAAAAAATAAAAATAAATAAAAAGATCCCCAAGATTTCGTTTGTTACACTATTTTGTCACCGACTGGGCAAAAGGGGAACCATATATAAATCATGAATCTACCGAAAGATAGGAACGCTCTACCCATATGATTTTGTACACATAGAATATTCTACTTAGTTATAAATATGATAGTCAACCATAGTATGACTATTGTATGCAAATTCTACCGGTTAAGGCTAGAAGGGATACGTATGGTGCTACTGGGCATGCGCACATCAATACGGCGTAATTTTTGTCACACTGTACAGCAATAATTACAATTTTTCACTATTGTAAGGGGGTGGGGTAGGTGTAGACGTTAATAAAACACAATGTAATAGGTATAAAATTAATTTAATTGTTCTTTTCCTGTCTGAGCTGTATCCCTTCTAGCCACAAACTGCTTGTTACACTATTTTGTGCCCGACTGACGCGGAAAAGCGGAACCATTTATTGTCATGTGATTTGTTGTCAGGACATCACAGCCAACGGAGCAAATGTTTTGATGCTTGTTTTGTGTTTATTGCATTATTTTCAAAATGTATGCTGCCGCGACGGAGAGTTTAATAAAGCAGGCAAGGTAAATCTATATCTTTACCTAAAATGTTTACTGTCAAAAGCTGTAATGGTTACATGACTGGTCAGTTATAGCCTATTAGTTAGACAAGTTATTCCCAATGACAAATCTTTCAATTCATTTAAATTTGCCTTTCAGAGAAATAAAGGAGGAAGAGCTGCAGAGGTTTTGTGGGCGCATATTTAAGCTGCTCCACACTAAAGATGTTAGTGGAGACACAGTGGACTCCCTCCAGAGGCTCAATCTGATAGTTTCTGCCACTAAATATGCGAGAGAGTGAGTCATATTCATTTTCAAATACATCTGAACAGCACATAGGCATGAACCCCTTTGTCTAGCCCTTCAGAAAAGTGTATTAAGTGTATTTTACGTGTGTATCATATACACCTCCACTACCTTCAGGCTTCCATCAGATCTGGTGATGAAGCTGCAGACGCTTCTTCGGTCTTCATCATGTCCAGAGCAGCTTCAGGTTCTGACCTCCTCCATCATCCGGGAGAGCTTTCCTCCCAGCGTACACAGCCTCTGCTCTGATCTCAGTCACGACAGCAGGACCTTCAGCCACGTGGCCAGTGTTGTTCTGGCTCAGGTGAGTCACATGCTGTTCACGATCAGCTTGTATTCTGTTCATAAACACTTAAGTAATCATCTAATTGTTCTCAGGCTGGAAATAAAGAAGATGTGATGCCTCTTTGCCATCATTTGCTGAAAAGTCTTGAGTCTCGGCTGTCTGACGGGCAGATATCCAGACATGCGCTTCCCATTCTCTCTGAAATGAGCACTGTTTATCCAGAGATTCTCACAGATGGTAAAGACAAGTTGATCACATTTGAGGAACACGATACTATATTGGAAGTGTCACTGGGAATTACAGTGGGGTCCAAATGTCAGAAGTAATGAAAATCAGAATGAGAGTCCAAACGGCTGATAAAAACATCACAATAATTCACAAGTAATCCACACTAAACTCCAGTCCATCAATTAACATCTTGTGAAGTGAAAAGCTGTGTGTTTGTAAGAAACACTTTTAACTTTAAATCATTGCTTCTGGGCAATATACAAATCCATAATCCATAATAACGCTTACTCCAGTAAAAAAAAAAAAAAAAAAAAAAAAAAAAAAGGGGGGATAAGGTTCACATCAGTTCATTTCACATCAAGCTACTACTGATCTCTCATCACTACCTGCATATCCCCTATATTCCAATGAGTTAATCTTCAGCGCTATTGCTAAACTTGTTTTTAACCTTTGGAGAGTCTTTTCACTTGCTGCCAGTCTTTGCTCAAATTCAATTCAAGACACTGTTGCCGTCTTACACAGCTGCTGGTCTCCACATAAAGGGTTTTGCAGCCCCTCAATTCTTGCTCTTCAGTGCAAGACCTGTGAGAAAATCAAACAGCCCTACCACAGTCAAAGAAAGACCTTAGTTTCACCTCACCAAAAAGCCTTATAGCTGCACTTGAACTATTAATATACTGTTCTTGCTTTTAAGACGATCATCATAGTATTGCTCATATGCATGGACTGTATATCCCTGATCTTAAATATAACATTTTGATGCAAAACTCATCTTGTTCCATTTCTAATACAGACTTGAATGATACCTCAAATGATGTGGCTTGCAATGTCTAATTTGTAAATTAATCACTCTTCTGAGTAAGATCTGTTCAATTAATTGTTTTGAACCTAAAAAAAACAGTTTATTTAAGAATTGTTTTGCAAATTAAAAACTGGTATGACCATTTTATTAGTGATGTCAAACGATTAATCGTGATTAATCGCATCCAAAATAAAAGTTTTTTTGTTTACATAATATATGTTTGTGTACTGTTTATTATGTATATATAAATACACACACATACAGTATATATTTTCAAAATATTTACATGCATATATTTATATTCATATAATTTATATTATATATAAATATAATTAATATAAAAACAAATTTTTTCTGAAATATATACATGCATGTGTGTGTATTTTTATATACATAATAAATATACACAGTACACAAGTTGAAAATCCGTGTTGCCCAGTGACAGCCCCAAAACATTACTGCTCTAGAGTAGATCTGCATGGAGGAATGGGCCAAAATACCAGCAACAGTGTGTGAAAACCTTGTGAAGACTTACAGAAAACGTTTGACCTCTGTCATTGCCAACAAAGGGTATATAACAAAGTATTGAGATGAAATTTTGTTATTGACCAAATACTTATTTTCCACTATAATTTGCAAATAAATTCTTTAAAAATCCTACAATGTGATTTTCTGGATTTTTTTTCTCATTTTGTCTCTCATAGTTGAGGTATACCTATGATGAAAATACAGGCCTCTCTCATCTTTTTAAGTGGGAGAACTTGCACAATTGGTGGCTGACTAAATACTTTTTTTCCCCACTGTACCTGTTGTCCTCTCACATCAAAATCCACCAAGATATTTGTTTAGAACCGTGTAGGACTGTTTTTACTTGTAAACTGTGCTTTATCTGTGCATATCTCTCTCCTGATTCAGACAAGACGACATTTTCAGTGGAGAAAGTAATATTATGGATAGAGGAGTCATATTGTAGTTGGAAACAACAATTTGAAGTATTACAAACTAATTTATTAGTTAATTGATGGTCTGGTGCCAGTTGTTCAAAAGTAATCTGATCCGATTTTGGCCATCAAAAAAAAAAAGCCTTCAGAACTTGGATTAGATCACAAAATCTAATCTTGGTTTTGATCTGGATTAAATCCTCAGTTTGTGTTGTTCAAAACATTTGAGTAAGATTGGGATACTTTTGAATAAAAAAAACTGCATTATTCCCAGCAGAAGGATGGATTTCAGGAACAAAAATGTAATAAAACTTCAAAACTAGTCCAAAAAATTTGTAACATGTAATATATCCCCAAATCCCCAAACAGCTGTCAATATCAATATTTATTTTTTATTTTTTTAAATGACTGATTGTAAGCTACATTGGCACAATCATCAGAGATGGACCAGTCAGAAGTATTTATGTAAATGCAAAACTAGAAAGCAAAACACTGGTACCTTTTTTTTTTTCCATCACCATGTGCCTTTAGGAATTTTTTTTCCATCACCATGTGCCTTTAGGAATTTTTTTTCCATCACCATGTGCCTTTAGGGGCTCCGTAGAGCACTAGTAATCCAGTGTGTATCTGGATCAGGGTGATCCAATCCAGTTTTGCTTTGAAAAACCGGCACAAAAGTAAGATGGGTTACCTGATCCTGGACAGCAAAACATGAGATTTCCGAATTCAGATCATTCTGATCCAGATTAAACTTTTTGAACAACTGGCCCCTGAAGTCGTGTGGATTACTGTGGTGTTTTTATCAGCTGTTTGGACTCTCGTTCTGACGGCACCCATTCACTGCAGAGGATCCATCGGTGAGCAAGTGATGTGATGCTAAATTTCTCCAAATCTGTTCTCACGAATAAACAAAATCAGTTGAATCACATATTTTCAAAATGGACTTTTTAACCCCACTCTCTAGTTAACTTTATATACATTGAAAAGGCATGATTGAAATACTATAATCTAGAAAATGCAAAGACGTTAACACGGATCATGTGCTCTCTAAACCCAGATCAGGTGAATCTGGTCAGTCGTAAGTTGGTGGATTGGTTGCGTTATGCCAGTATGCAGCAGGGAGCCTCCATGTCTTCTGGGGGATTTTTCAGTGGACCAAGAACACGTCAGGTGGGGCATGTTGCTTTTCTTTATTCATCAGTACCTTCACCATCAATCAAGCTCAGGCGCAAGTTTCTAATGATACTGTTGAGTGAACTGCTCATCACTTGTTAACATCTCTTCATCAGCCTGCTCCACTGACGGAGGTGGATGGGGTGGTAACGGGTGATTTCTTTACTGTGCTGTGTTTGGGTCAGAGCTACTCTGAGGACCAGTGGATGAATATGTACACTTTCTCTATGATCAAGAGTTGGCTGCTCACTTATGACACAGGCGGGACTACAAACACAGAATCAGGTAGTCCAAACAGAGATGTTGCAGCAGTTGGTTTGCTTTATGATCAGTGCTATTTTAGTATTACTTATTATATTATTTGCTAATATTTTGGATTAGCTTTTATTTCAATATGTTCAGTTTTCATTTTAATTTCAGTAATTTTGTTAGGGTCTTTTATCATTATTATAATTTTTTTTTAATGTTTCCATTTAACTTAAATCATTTCTGTTTTATTTCAGCTGTATTTCAATTACTACAAAACATTTGTAACAATAACACCACTGTTTACGAAATGTTCCATGTAAGATATATATATACTTCATTTAGTTAAGACAAATAACATGGGATTTTCATCTTTGCTAGCTCTACTAATAAAAGCGCAGGGCATTCATTTACAGCACCAAGGTAAGATGCAAGTGAAACGTCTGATATGATCAATCTAAAGCCAGTGTGCTTTTCCTTCTTGCGCAATCAGAAACTCTCTTTACTCAATGACATTGATCCTTGATTTATAATTAACTGCTGTGTGTATCAAATTGATTTTGAGTCTGTGGCTATGTTTGGAATGAATTACTAGCATGCTACTTACTCTGTGGAGAATAAACTGTATACAGCCTACTATTTTTATTAAATAGTGCATGAGACACACAATACAGTGATGAGTGTTTCACCCTGCGCTGTTGTCACATGACCTTACCATGTTTACTTTTGTGTGACATCGTTAATCTCTAAAGAATAAATAGACTGCTTTTGAAATCGCATTTCATGCTGTGTGCATTTGTTTGTATACTGCACATTTTGGCAAATGTAGTAAGTCATGTGGGTATTCACAGAATGTGCATAGTGTACACTGCATACTGTAAAATTGTACTATTGTAGTATGCTGTTCCAAACATAGCCTATATGTTCCGTCATATGCTCAGCCCTGCAATGGCATTGGATCCTGCCAGATAACGTGCTTGTTTAAATCCTGCTGGAAAAGGAGTTGTGCTCTGGGTGTTGTAGTGTAGCGTACTGTGCTTTAATGTGCTGTGCTGTTGGTGCAGATGATCGCTCAGAGGTGGACAGTTCAGTGATGTCCATGGTGTCGGCCACATCCTCTTCCAGCAGACTACTTCCTCCCAAAGAGAGACTCCGAGAGAAGGCTTTTGAGTACTGCCAGCGTCTCATTGAACAGAGTGACAGGAGTGAGTAGATCATAAGTCAACTATTAGAGAATGCTTATTACACTCTGCTGGAGAATGTATTGATTTATTCCTCTCTTATTTTTTCACAATGTAGAAGCCCTGAAGAAGACCGATACAGAGCTACAGAAAGCAGTAAGTACCACATACAGGTGCATCTCAATAAATTAGAATGTCGTGGAAAAGTTCATTTATTTCAGTAATTCAACTCAAATTGTGAAACTCGTGTAGTAAATAAATTCAATGCACACAGACTGAAGTAGTTTAAGTCTTTGGTTCTTTTAATTGTGATGATTTTGACTCACATTTAACAAAAACCCACCAATTCACTATCTCAACAAATTAGAATACTTCATAAGACCAATAAAAAACATTTTTAGTGAATTGTTGGCCTTCTGGAAAGTATGTTCATTTACTGTACATGTACTCAATACTTGGTATACTTTCCAGAAGGCCAACAATTCACTAAAAATGTTTTTTTATTGGTCTTATGAAGTATTCTAATTTGAGGTAGTGAATTTGTGGGTTTTTGTGAAATGTGAGCCAAAATCATCACAATTAAAAGAACCAAAGACTTAAACTACTTCAGTCTGTGTGCATTGAATTTATTTAATACACGAGTTTCACAATTTGAGTTGAATTATTGAAATAAATGAACTTTTCCATGACATTCAAATTTTTTGAGATGCACCTGTACATTACCGTTCAAAAGTTTCATGTCTGTATAATTTTAGTGTTTTTGAAAGTCTCTTCTGCTTAAGGCTGCATTTATTTGATCAAAAATAGAGTAAACAAAATGTTTTCTATTGAAATATATTTTAAAATGTAATTTTTTTTCTGTGATAGTAAAGCTGAATTTTCTGTATCATTACTCCAGTCTTCAGTGTCACACGATCCTTCAGAAATCATTTTAATATGCTAATTTGCTGCTAAAAGAAAATGTCTTATTATTGTCAATGTTAAAAACAGTGCTTCGTAATGTTTTAGTGGAAACAGTTTTTTTTCAGGGTTCTTTGATTTAATAGAAAGTTCAAAAGAAATAGCATTTTTTTAAAATAGAAATCTTTTATAACATTATTTATAAATGTCATTACTGTCAGTTTTGATCCATTCAGTGCAACCTGACTAAAGAAAAGTATTCATTAAAAAAAGAGAAAAAGTACTGACCCCAAACATTTGAATGGCAGTGTGTTAATTCAAGCATCATTTCCACATAGTTTTTTTTTTTTTTAACCTTGACATAATTTAAAAATGATATAATTACATTTAAAGAAACACACAGTATTTTGTGCCTTATCAAAAAAGTTTTATTCCCCAAAAAATTATTAGAACTTTTTTAAAACGTTTGAAGTCATGTAAATAAATCCTAAAATTCATGTTAACTTAAATTCAGCTGATAATATAATTTATAATGATAAATTCAGTAATTAAAATCAGAAACTAATGCAAAACAGAATAGGATTTTACACTGTATTATTGATGAATCATGTCATGGTTAAGACTTCCAGTAAGTTAAACGGCATATGGATGGTGACTCTGTATATCTGTTGTACAGTGTATTGTTGAGTCAGTATCAATAATGGACATCATCTGCGGTGAGGACCCCTCCTACGTGTACCGTGCCTTCCCCTGCATCAAAGCCCTGTATGGCAGACTGAATGGAGATCTCGCCTATGCTCGAGCCCTGCTGCCTATTGCTCAGTTCTACCTCAACCACAGTGAGTGACGTAGCCCGTGGCCCTAGTGCTTACAGCAACATATGGCTCTGATAGTGTGACGTATGAATGCATCTCAGTGTCCACATGCTCTAATATCAGGTGAGATTGCCGCGGTGGACGCGGAGGCTGTGTTCTGCCAACTCTTCAGTCACTGTCCCGCCGAGCAGTTCAACGAGCCCATGCTCGCCTTCGAGTTTGTCCAGTTCTGTCTTCTCAACGCTAGCGTTCTGCAGGACAGAGTGGCCAACTACAGACAGAGCTTCCCAAACATCCTGAAGGTGGGCTGGCTAATCATATTTTTAAAGAAATTTAGCTAAATTCAAGATATATGTGAGTTTGTTTCTTGATCGAAACAGATTTGGAGAAATTTAGCATTGCATCACTTGCTCACTAATGGATCCTCTGCAGTGAATGGGTGCCGTCAGAATGAGACTCCAAACAGCTGATAAAAACATCACAATCATCCACAAGTAATCCACACAAAACCAGTCCATTAGTTAACATCTTGTGAAGTGAAAAGCTGTGTGTTTGTAAGAAACAAACAGAAAATAAATCATTGATTTTTTTTTATTTTTTTTACTTTGAACCATTTCTTCTGGCCAAAATAAAGTACATAATCAATAATAACGCTTCCTCCATTGAAAAAGTCCATCTTCTGTTGTCCTCTCAAATACACATGAAAATACACAGGACTCTAAGACTGTTTTCACTTGTAAATAGTGCTTGATATGTACATATTTCTCTCCTAATTCAGACAAGATGAGTTTTTCCACTGGAGAAAGTAGTTTTATGGATAGAGGACTCATATTTGAGCCGGGAACAATGGTTTGAAGTTAAAATAATGTCTTAATTATGGATTAGTTTCTTACAAACATGCACCTTTCCACTTCACAAGATGTTAACTGATAGACTGGAGTCATGTGGCTCACTTGTGGATTATTGTGATGTTTTTATCAGCTGTTTGGACTCTCATTCTGACGGCACCCATTCACTGCAGAGGATCCATTGGTGAGCAAGTGATGTAATGCCACATTTTTCCAAATCTGTTCTCATGAAGAAACAAACTCCTCTACATCTTGGTTGGCTTGAGGGTAAGATTTTCAGCTAATTTTCATTTTGGCTGAACTGTTACTTTAAATTGAATACAAATAAGTGATATTTTAAATGTTTGTGCGATTTTTCCCACCAGTTCTTGGCATGGAACAGTTCAGGATTGATTGCAGAGTTTGTGGAGCTGCTCCCATCACTGATAGCTTCAGATACAGCCATTGAGTTACTGCATACTATCCTTGATCTGCCCTGCTTAGCAGCAGCCCTGGACCTCCAGCAGAGGTACGTGACTTTACCAACTACAGATCAGTGCTTCAACTGGAGTTGAATGTGATGTGAATTAGCGATGCAATGCTGTTGCAGATCAGCATGCTATCAGGCTTCAGACCGTACCGCATGGGACCAGCAGGGGGCGAAGGTGGCCGCTTGTCTGGATGCCTTCCGCCAGCCGTTCTATAGGGGGCTCTTCCTCTACATCCTCAGACCTGAGGCTGGGACTGGAGACACAATAGACAGGTAGTACCTGGCATGTTAATTATAGAATATAATCTAGGAAGAATTTAGGAATTCAGTTCCTAAATTTAAAATTAGGTAGCAGGATGCAGAATTTAAGGAGGTATAATTGAAATCGCATATACATAATTACAAGTTTGGAGTCAGTAGAGTGTTTTCTATTTTAATATGTAAAAATTTAATTAATTCCTGTGATGTTAAAGCTGAATTTTCAGCATCATTACTCCAGTCTTCAGTGTCACATGATCCTTCAGAAATCATTCTAATATGCTGATTTGCTGCAAGAGAAACATTTTATTTTTATCAGTGTTGAAAACAGTTATTGCTGCTTCCTTTTTGTGGAAATCGTGATATTTTTTAAGGATTCTTTGATGAATAGAAAGTTCAAAAGAACAGCATTTATTTGAGATAGAAATCTTTATTAACAGTATAAATGTCTTTACTGTCACTTTTGATCAATTTAATTTGTCATTGCTGAGACAATTCTGTCCCCAAACCTTAAAAAAACGTTTAAATATTTAATGAAGTATGCTCTGATGGTTATACAGTAACTAATGGACCTGCAACCGTGTAATTACCGCCCCTACAGCACAAAAATGGCTTGCCACTATTCAAACCACCTAAATGTTGTATAAAAATGAAGTGTGTGTGTGTGTGTGTGTGTGTGTGTGTGTGTTAAATGCCTGCTTACTGTAAACCTCTAAGTGTGATTGCCTCATAGGCTAAAAATGCTTCATGAGATTTTGGCTGACATGGCGGAGAGTCCACGAGTTGTTCGGTGTGCTCAGGTCGTTCCTGTGCTTCTGCATGTGTACTTCAACACATTCACTCAGGTGAGAGTCACAAATGAAAGGTCAGGCCATTTAATAGCTCACACCAGCACAAAAAAATGAATGTACACTCACATTTGCCACATTTCACAAGGTCTGAATTGTGTCATCTCTTCCAGTGTTTTTATTGTGTTTTATAGAAAGCTGATGAGAAAATGATGAACCAGCTGTTGCTAGTGCTGCTGGAGAGAAGCAGTCTGCTCTACAACATCAAGACATTTAATGTTGAAGTCCAAAAGTGAGGCACTCTTTATTGAAATACTCTTTATTGACAAAAACTCACTCATTTGTGCAAATGTAATTCATGGGGTTATTATTCAGTAATTCCATGAATCAGATGTACATTTCTGCTTACTGTAAACCTCTAAGTGTGATTGCCTCATAGGCTAAAAATGCTTCATGAGATTTTGGCTGACATGGCGGAGAGTCCACGAGTTGTTCTGTGTGCTCAGGTCGTTCCTGTGCTTCTGCATGTGTACTTCAACACATTCACTCAGGTGAGAGTCACAAATGAAAGGTCAGGCCATTTAATAGCTCACACCAGCACAAAAAAAGGAATGTACACTCACATTTGCCACATTTCACAAGGTCTGAATTGTGTCATCTCTTCCAGTGTTTTTATTGTGTTTTATAGAAAGCTGATGAGAAAATGATGAACCAGCTGTTGCTAGTGCTGCTGGAGAGAAGCAGTCTGCTCTACAACATCAAGACATTTAATGTTGAAGTCCAAAAGTGAGGCACTCTTTATTGAAATACTCTTTATTGACAAAAACTCACTCATTTGTGCAAATGTAATTCATGGGGTTATTATTCAGTAATTCCATGAATCAGATGTACATTTCAGACATCTTTTAACATTCTGCATGTAGGGTGTGGACCCGTGTTAACTTTTATAAAGAATATCTCTTTGGATTTGAGACTTTAGTCTTTACAACTTTACAGATCTTATCTATTCACAATCAGCTTGTAACACTCCAAAGAGAAAGGAAAACTTGAAATCGCATCATATGACCCCTTTAATTACAAAATAAATGTAACTGTAATCTGTTACAGTTACTGAGAAACAAAAAATGTGTAATTGAATTAGTTACTTATGAAAATTTAAAAGATGATAAAGGGGGTTACATCTGAATATTTTCACACACATATAGATTTGATTGATTTCTTTCCCAAATTGCACTGACACTGATGTTTCAGGAGTGTAGTACACAGAATAGGACACATGCTTAATAAATAACTATTTTATTTCCTATTTAGGTTTATTTATATGCTTTATTTTTTAAGATTAACAGTTTTTTCCCGAGGCATTGTTAGATGACCGTGTTTCCTGTCATAGCTGTACAAAGATTTGATTTGAAAAAACAGTATCATAGCTATTAAACTAGATCTTATGATTTTAATTCAAGTGATGAAGGATTCTGAAAGTCTGACAGTAATCAGTGTTGAGTGCCACTGTAAGGATTATCCTGCCGGGTTTAAATGTTTCAAAATGATTAACAGTTGAAAACATTCATTAGAAATTTAGAAAAGTAATCAAATGTAGTCGGCTACATAACTTTAATGTTATTATTGTTTTATTTTTGCCATTTCAATTAAAGTCTACATACGTGGTCAATGTGGTCTCAGACTTATGGACCTTTCTATATTTGTAATGTCCATATTAGCCAGATATTGTAATCAAAAAAAAAAAAACAAACCTGTATCAACTATTAGTTCTATATCTCCCTCATTCCATTTCGTTCTATTTCTCTCAGAGTGTCGCTTTGCCTGTCTAAGATGCGGACCTTTGCCCGTAGTGCTCCTGTAATGACGTGCTACAGCGAGGAGGACACTGAGGAGATCATCACACGAGCCCATGAACTTATTAACTTGCTCAAGTTACCAAATGTGGCTCAATTTGTTCTGGCCCCTTCAGCCGGAGGCAACGGCCCCCGCTGGCACCGAGACACCAACGCCTCACTTCCTCAGGGCATGAGAGCAGTCAGCGGGCTCCTCCATAGACATTCCAGCTCTCTGCCCACGTAAGCCAGTTCCAGGAAACTGTTTTTGAAATATCTGTGCAGAATACCAAGAGAGAGTTTCTGAAGGACACAAAGGGTGTCACTGGAGCAAAACACAGGCAAGCACTGCACTTCATCATGATTTTCACTTCTGCTCGTCAGTTACAAATATATCAAAACAAATGGCAAGACACAAGGGGATTATGATTTGTTCCTTGATTTATTGAAATGTTTGTTAGAGACACATTTCTATAAATTAAACATTCTATGTTTATTGTCAGGTTGCATTTATTACTGCCACTTATGATTAGTGTCAAAACTGTTAAAAGACAGTTTAGATTGAGTTGTTGTCCTTCTGATTAAAAGTCTATGAAACTAATGGTACAAAATAATTCACCATAGAAATGAAATGTGACACAATACAAATGCTTACTGTCATATAAATGCAACATTATGACAAAATGAGTAAAAACCTGTTATACATTCAAAGTCACAGTGCTTAGAAACATACTCTTTCATATCTGAGCTTCCTGGCTAAATTTGTCAATAGGTAAAACAGACGTTTAAGTTGCAAGAATTTCATCAAGGTTTATATTTTCATTAGACCTTGAGATAAGTCTTATTGGGTTTTACTAATTCATCAAGGCTAGTTTCCATGTACATGGTTCGTTCCCAATAACAAATAAAATGGCTCTGTGGGAGCTCCGCTGACTTGAATTGGTGCTCAAGAAACATTATTATGATCAATATTGACAATATTGACAGTTGTGCTGTTATTTTGTGAAAACTGATACTACCAGTCGAAAGTTTGGGGTAAGGTAAACAATATATGTGTGTATATATATATATATAACAAGAGGGAAGGAAAGAAAAGAAATTGCTAAAACATTGATAATAATAATAATAACCAATATTATTAATTGAGCACCAATTTTAATTGAGCAGCAAATCAGCATATTAGAATGATTTCTGAAGGATCATGTGAAACTGAAGACTGGAGTAATGATGCTGAAAATACAGTTTTAACATCACAGGAATAAAATTGTAATAATACTTCATAATAACACAGATTTTACTGCAGTTGTGCTGTTATTTTGTGAAAACTGATACTACCAGTCGAAAGTTTGGGGTAAGGTAAACAATATATGTGTGTATATATATATAATAAACAAGAGGGAAGGAAAGAAAAGAAATTGCTAAAACATTGATAATAATAATAATAACCAATATTATTAATTGAGCACCAATTTTAATTGAGCAGCAAATCAGCATATTAGAATGATTTCTGAAGGATCATGTGAAACTGAAGACTGGAGTAATGATGCTGAAAATACAGTTTTAACATCACAGGAATAAAATTGTAATAATACTTCATAATAACACAGATTTTACTGCATAAGAGACTTCTTTCGAAAACATAAAGTAATTATTCCAAACATTTGACCGGTAGTGTAAATCATGTCATCCCCTCTAGCTTTCCACCTAAACATTATCACAACCCCATAGAAATGATCCACTGTGCAACAATTAAAAAGTCATTTCTAACATTTTTGTACATATACATTACTACAAGATCACAGTAGTAGAAATACTATACCTGGAAATAATTATTCTGCTCAATGTCAATAAATTACTTTCATATGCACAGTCTGATTATGGGAGTTCATATCAAGGCAGTAGATAGCTCAGTTAAAGGATGTGGAATGTTATTCATGTCTTCTGTATTATACACATTTTGCCTGTAAACACTGACAGGTGAAACAGTACATTATGTCAACAGGTTAAGACTATATCTGCAAAAATAGACTGGCCAGAAGGTGCTGAGTTATCAGGACAGAAATCCTTCTATATAAAAATACATTTTAGACCAACAGTACTAAAACATGCCCGTCTATGATTAATATAGAGGGATGCAAAGGCAGCTCAGGATCAAATACATTGTCTTTTATAGCTCAACAAACCCTGTATGTGTGAACACACTTGAGATATTCTTCATCTGTCACCTGGATATTTTGATTTGGCCGATCTCCGTTGCATACAAGTACCTCCAGATGGCATAATAGTGTATGCCTGCCCCCACTGCCACAAAGACGTGCCAGATGGCATGAGCAAATGGGATGAGGCCATCACTCTTGAAGAAGACAATTCCCAGGCAGTAGAAGACTCCACCCACTGACAGCTCTAATATGCCCTCTCTGTTAGGCTGAAATAATACGTTCAGTTTAAACAGGTCGCTCTCCCACAGATGAAATACACAGGGGACACTGTACAAAAAGCGTGCCATTTGTTTCTCTTGTATGCATGTGTAAAAAAATAACTTAAACAATGAATAGCTAATGCCAACTTTTGCTATGCCAATACAGACATTCTTTTAAAAATTAAAATCCAGTAACATTGTTTAAGTTTTTTCCTTGAATAACGAGGATGCCTTTTTTATTTGTCTCCATCCATTACCATCTTTATTTCATTTTACAAATATGCACATATTCTGATCCAAATGTATGATGAATATGATAAATAGATAGGTATGTATATACTGTGTGTATATATATATATATACAGTATCTCACAGAAGTGAGTACACCCCTCACATTTTTGTAAATATTTTATTATATCTTTTCATGTAACAACACTGAAGAAATGACACTTTGCTACAATGCAAAGTAGCGAGTGTACAGCTTGTATAACAGTGTAAATTTGCTGTCCCCTCAAAATAACTCAACACAAAGCCATTAATGTCTAAACCGCCATGTTGAACTTCCAGTGACCAGTATGAGAGCGAGAGAGCGATAACACCAAATTTAACACACCTGCTCCCCATTCACACCTGAGACCTTGTAACACTAATGAGTCACATGACACCGCGGAGAGAAAATGGCTAATTGGGCCCAATTTGGAGTGTGTGTATATATATGTATATGTACATATATATTAGTTCTATTTATAGCAAATATAAAAGCCCTTTCACACCAAAAAGTGTAATGAATAAACCTCAGGCTGAAGCAAAAGTAAAATGAGCTGTCAGTCAATAAATGGGAAAACAAAGTAACTGGCATTACTTTTTTGAAAAAGTAACTCCGATACTTTCTTGTAAATTAAAAAAGTAATGCGTTACTTTACTAGTTACTTGGAAAAAAGTAATCTGATTACGTAACTCGCATTACTTGTAATGAGTTACCCCCAACACTGCATGTATATAATAACCATTTTCCCCTTTTAAAGTAACTATTCCATTAACCACA